CCAAACACCCCCGGGTCACCTTACATCACTGCTGTGTTCCCAGAGTGATGACTTTTCTAAACAAAGCTTAAAGGAGAGTTTGGGTTTTTGCTTTCAGCGGTTCGATTTGTAATACTTTAATAATCAGAGCAAGGATCAGTGGGGAAAGTAACTGAACAAACCAGAATAATATTATAATCTGGGACCATGTTGTATCTCGTGTTCGAATGTGTCATTGTGCAGAAAGTATCGAACAGTTATCACGACTTTTCCAACTGTTGTTGCCCGTGTGTATTCAAAGATCGGACATAACAATCTTGTTCTCTCAGCAAAAGAAGCGTCGCAGAAGTCCGCGCATTGCTTTAGATGGCGATGCAGTCTTTGTTTTGTAGAATAGGAATAGCACAGTTTGTTAGTTTCACTTTAGTTGTTTTCACTCGAGGGTAACTCAGATTGTCAAGTCTGCGCTTTTTCGAAGAGAACGCCACCGAATTTTGAGGACACTTTTTGAATTGGCTCAAAGAGAGGAGTGAGTGGGAGGATTGGAAACAGCGCTGTCACGCTGCGCGTTCCTCGCAACGCCTTGGTCTTCATAGAGTTGGAAGCTTAGTTCAGTTTTAGTTGAAGTTTTCTTTTGGTTTTATCTTGTTGTTTAATTTAAATCATAGATCTATAGCAGAGACGCATACACAACGCCGCACCTGCTGACCGCTGTGGGAAACATCAATGCACTGAAATGAACAGAGAGATAAAATACAAGGTATTGTTCGTTTTTCCCTGGTGGACTGGGGGTGGGAGACGGAGGGAGACGGAGGGAGACGGAGGGAGACGGAGGGAGACGGAGGGAGACGGAGGGATACGGAGGGAGACGGAGGGAGACGGAGGGAGACGGAGGGAGACAAAGTGAGTAATTGAGTTTGTTAAGAAAAAGGACAATTCCATACTTACAAAATGGATTGCTTTTATATCATGTTGTCTACACTCTCTTTCTACTGATGCAAAGCCTAGGTCTTCATAGAGTATGAAGAGGGTTAAGACTGGGTTAATTATTTAATGATTCATTATTGTCTCATAATGAGCAATTAACAATTGTAGGCTAGAACACTGTGTGTCACTCTGTGTATGGATCCTGTGCGCACACACAAATATCGCTGTTTAATCTCGGGCACAAACAATATTATTCTGACATTTTAAAATGCAACACTTAGATAAATAGCTGGACAATATTTTCTAAAATTAGGGTTGACTGACATTGGTGTTTGGCTACATAACACCCCATCTTCCATGAACCCCTGCTGTTGCTGCTGCTGTTGCACCTGCTGTTTGGCATCGCTTCCTCAAATATTACTCGGGTCTTATTGATAAGTAGTTACGCCTGGTTGTCTACTTTCTATTTCCTCATCTCAACAACATCGACAGTGGTTCTTGTCCGTTCAGCCAGCCTCCAAGGTGTGCTAGAATTGCAGCTGAAGCTTCTACTTCTAGCAGTTTCTCGGTCACATTCTTGACCCCAGAGGGCTGATACGAGCGCCTTGTTGTGGTCAGCGGTGCCAAATCTATACATACTGTTTGAGCGACGCACAGAAAAAGGTTTCCAAAAATTATGAGGGTTAAAAAAAATTTTTACAAGTAATATTTAGGTCTAGATCTATCTCATTCATTTTTTTTTTACTGACCCACATGGTCTGATCGTGTAAAAGGCCGTATTTGCATTATTGGTAGATTATCTTGTTCATATAAAGGTACACACTCGCAAAAACCCCAAAGAGTACATTTTTAGCGAAAGGCAAACCAGATGAAAAAGAAAACAACATCGAAAGACTTCGCAGACTATCATTACTCCGTGACTGAAAAGTGTTGCTGTGCACCGACTGGCCTTTTATTCCTCTCCGGAATGGCGGCGCGCCCCTCAAGTTTGACACCCGTGACGTCACAGCTACGACCTCTAGTCTTATGTATAATCTCTTTGGATTTCATTCAGTAACATTTTGTTAAAGAAAGAAAGAAATAATAATAATTAAACAATACAAATGTAATAAAAACGACATTGTGGATTGCTGGCGTTTTAAATGAACAGTTGCTTGTTTGTTTCTATGGTCTGCTTGTATCGTTTGCTCAATCGAACTTTTACGACCTGGCTCTCATATGACCTTACGCAGTTGCGAGCGCCGTAAAACCCTCTACTAAATAAAAATAGAAATAACTTTTCTGCTGATCTCTCTTCGGGAGCATCAACCGAAGTGCATAAATTCAGCTCTTGGCTATGGACTTCACAATGATGTGTGGATGAGAAATAATTTAGGAACCGTGCGAGCTTTGGGTATAGACGATGTAATACTTTCTCTACTGACCGACTGATGTAATACATTCTCTACTGACTGACTGATGTGATACATTCTCTACTGACTGACTGATGTAATACATTCTCTACTGACCGACTGATGTAATACATTCTCTACTGACTGACTGATGTGATACATTCTCTACTGACTGACTGATGTAATACATTCTCTACTGACCGACTGATGTAATACATTCTCTACTGACTGACTGATGTGATACATTCTCTACTGACTGACTGATGTAATACATTCTCTACTGACCGACTGATGTAATACATTCTCTACTGAGCAACTGATGTAATACATTCTCTACTGACCGACTGATGTAATACTTTCTCTACTGACTGACTGATTGGATACTTTCTCTACTGACCGACTGATTGGATAGTTTCTCTACTGACCGACTGATTGGATACTTTCTCTACTGACCGACTGATTGGATAGTTTCTCTACTGACCGACTGATTGGATAGTTTCTCTACTGACCGACTGACTGGATAGTTTCTCTACTGACCAAAGAATGTGGTGATACTTTTTCTACTGACCAACTAAAGTCATCGTTTCTCTACTGACCAATACATCTCTAGCACAATTTTTTCAGACCATTTCCAGTGCGTGGGTGGTTGGAGGGCGCCATTGGTAAGTCCTACGCCCATAATTAACTTCCACTATGTTGTTTCTGTTTGTGTGTCTTACACTTCCCTAGCACTAAATGACCACCATTGGAAAGTCCTACGCCCATAATTAACTTCCACTATGTTGTTTCTGTCTGTGTGTCTTACACTTCCTTAGCACTAAATGACCACCATTGTGTCGGTGTGCTTCTCTTTATTCAAACAAACAAACAGACAAACAAACAAACAAACAAACAAACAAACAAAACAATGTCGACTGCTTAGAGCAAGAGTCCGCCATACGCCATTTTGAGACGTAACAAAAGACGATAGAAAACTTAATGTCACAGGAGGCTATGTCTTTCATGTAAACAACTTTCTTCTCCTGCACGTGGCTATGTCTGTCATGTAAACAACTTTCTTCTCCTGCACGTGGCTATGTCTTTGATGTAAACAACTTTATTCTCCTGCACGTGGCTATGCCTTTGATGTAAACAACTTTCTTCTCCTGTACGTGGCTATGTCTTTGATGTAAACAACTTTCTTCTCCTGCACGTGGCTATGTCTCTCATGTAAACAACTTTCTTCTCCTGCACGTGAGGCAATGCTTTCTCCCACTGGCCACTAGGCAAAAGCAGTCTCGGACCGGAAGCGATAGGGTCTTGTGTGGGTGTGAGTGTGTGTGGGTGTGTGTGTGTATGTGTGTGTGTGTGTGAGTGTGTGTGTGTGTGTGTGTGTGTGTGTGAGTGTGTGTATGTGTATGTGTGTGTGTGTGTGTGAGAGTGTGGGTGTGTGTGTGTGTGTGTGTGTGTGTTTGTGTGTGTGTGTGTGTGTGTGTGTGTGTGTGTGACAGACCTGTGCCACATTAACACAGTTTACATAACTCAGGAGGCGGGCTGCTCAGACCCTGCCCTCGGAGGAACGACCCGGACTGAGCGGGGTACTGGAGCCCAGCTGACAGACGCAGATAGTGGACGACCTAGACCTCCACCTGCTAGAATCGAACTCTGGTCTTGTGCCGGAAAGGGCGGAGAGACTGACCGCTGCACCACACACGCCGGGGTTGTTGCAGTGAATGTCCTTAAACAGCAACAACAGCAACAGCAGCTACAACAACAACAAAAACAACAACAATAGAAACAGAAACAACAACAACAGAAACAACAACAACAGAAACAACAACAACAGCAACAACAGCAACAGCAGCTACAACAACAACAAAAACAACAACAATAGAAACAGAAACAACAACAACAACAACAGAAACAACAACAGCAACAACAACAACAACAACAACAATAAAAATAACAATAACAGCAACAAGAACAGCGAGAATAATAACAACAACAACAAAACAACAACGACAGTCAGCATTATGCCACTACACCACACAGGCCAACTAAGCGTGGGGATGTTCTGTGTAGTTTCCCTCCTCTGTAGCGCCACATGCCTGAGGAGAACCGCGGAGAGTGACGCAGTGTCTTCCCGGACAGAACAGGCCAGGCACAGCGGATCTGACGGCCGGCTTCCGGGGACGGACGGCTGGGGGGTCGGTCTTACCTCCGGTCAGCGAGACGAGAATAGTCGGCGGTCAGTTACAAGTGAACACCGCTTAACACAACTTGATGAACATCCGTCAGTTAAAAGTGAACACCGCCCAACACAACTTGACCATCTGTCCAGATTTCGTTCACGAGATGGGTTGGGGAGGGTCAAACGACAAAGTCCTGAGAACGGCAACTTGGATGAAAACTGTGATAACCCTGCGGACAATAGTACGCACTTCCAATTCGAAAAAACCTTTCGAGCGCACTGCAAGTGTAACTTCTTCGCTAAAGTTTATGAGATCACCAGTGTCCCCGGAGACGTCAAAATCCCTGAGGACATCAAATGTGGCTCAGAGGCCGGATTACAGTTCAGAGAAGAAAATGGAGTTTTTCACTTCCGGTCGCCGTGCTGTTCAAACTTTTGCGAGAGCATCTTTCACATTAAGGCGCCCCGGGGCCGGGGATCGGGGTATATTCTAGAATTTCTGGAGCTTAACGTTCCTTCTCCTCTCATAATAAACTCAGACGGATCTTATACGTGTAAAGACAGTCGAGTGCTATTTCGTAATCCTGATTATGAAATCTGTGGCACAGTGGTCCCAAAGCCATTTAAAGTCTGGTCGGATTCTGCATTTTTCGTCGTGCAAACAGACAGCAACAGGTTATGTCGTGATGCCATTTCCTTTACCCTAGAATACCGGAAGTGGGACGTGATGGACCAGATGGCCAACATATGTCAGCTACAGTTACAGCATACCGTGGTCAGCGAGGGTCAGTCCGGATTCATCATGTCTCCCGGATACGGAGAAGTGCACAGTTATAGCGAGTTTGATTTTGACTTGTGTGGGTGGGATATGGAAGTATCGAATAACAGCATCCTTCAGATATCATTCGTGTCTCATGGGGCTGGCTACATTGATTATAATTCGAGTTACATTACGGTCTCCACAAAAGGACAGCCTCACTTGGACCACCATCATGCTGTAGACGTGAGGTTCAATCAAGAAGACTACAGTGTAATAGATGGTTATCGCCTTACCCTGCCCAGTCATCGGGCCAGGGTGTCCTTCTCATCATATGTGGCAAGCAAGAGGTTCAAAATGTGGTACAAGGCTGTCAATAGAGATTCATTCATTCCAATAATTGACAAATTTGTACTCAACTGTTCGGGCTATGAACCCTCTCTCCCTGCACACATTCGTTGTGATTTACATAATGACTGCGTGGGAGGTGAAGACGAGGTGAACTGCACGTACAAAGATGGAGCCTGGTGTCCTGGTGGTTTTGTCTTGGGGTCAAGTTGTTATCACCTCCACGACCCACAGCCTGACGGCACTTGGCAGATGGCGGAGGACTTGTGCGAGCAGCAGTATAACGGTCATTTGGTCACTCCAAATTCAGAAGAAGAGCTGACTTTTCTTTCTCGTCTGATGATTCAAATGTATGACGTTAAGACGACGTGGTATCTAGGTTTCCGGCGTAGGGGCGCTGGTTCTGAACTTTTGTATCGGAAAGTGTACCAAGGCCTGGATGGGACTACCGTGTTTGGGGGATTCAAGAAACAGTTTGTCTTTGATGTTGCTGCTGCGTGCGCTGTGTGGGACATCACAGCATTAGGTTATCAGAAAGAAGTGACAAACATACCCTGCCACCAGGTCTGGACAAAGTTCCAGTTCCATCAGGACTATTTGTTTTACTATTTAATCCAACCAAACGTTTCTATAGCCTGCGAGTCTAAAAAACCAGCAGTCGTCCAACCCCTCGTGACTTCCTCCTCGGCTGCTGTGTGGACAGATAAAAGGAAAACGTTTGAGTGTGTGGTCAGTAAAGAAAGAGTCTCACTGTCCAGGCGATGTGACTGGCTCTCAGACTGCTGGGACGGAAGTGACGAAGTCGACTGCGCTGGTCTGAGTGACGCACCCTCGTATGTCCGATTTACCTGCACGTCTGGACGTCCGCTGTGGTACTCCCACGTCTGTGATGGCGTCAGCGACTGTGTGGACGGTTCTGACGAGGAGTTCTGTGCCCCGGCCCCTGACGACAACCCAGCCCTGGCGGTGTGTGCCGATGGAGTCCCGGTGCCTGCCTCTGCCTGGTGTGATGCCCAACCCGACTGTCTGGACGCTTCTGACGAGCTGGACTGCTCCAGGTGTAACGGCGGGGCCCTCCTGTGTCCGTCTGTGGGCTGCCTGCCACCCCACTGGGCGCACGACGACGCCCTGGATTGCCAACTCACAGATAAGAGTGGTCAGTGGATCCTGGAACCTGACTTTGTCCCCCACACAGTTGACGCTCAGCCACCACCAGGCGTTGTCCGGCCAGACGGCTACGGCAAAGTGACCATCGAGCCGTTAGACGAGGGCGAGCCGTGTCCGCCAACACACGTCCAGTGCCCCAAAGGCTACTGTATACCCATGTACATGCTCTGTAACGGCCACACAGATTGCCCGGAGGGAGAGGACGAGCTGGCAGAGACATGCCAGTCCTTCTGTAAGGGTCGCTACAAGTGTCACCAGACGTCTGTGTGTCTCCACGATGACCACGTCTGTGACGGCTGGTTCCACTGTCCGCTACACGACGACGAGACGTTCTGTTGGACAAACGACACATGTCCGCCCGGCTGTGTGTGCTCGGGAGAAGAAATCACCTGCCGCTCTGGATTCGTCGTCGGTGAACTTTTACGTGTGAGGCGACTGGATATTTCTCACACTGCTCAACCAAACGACTCACTGACTGTACAAAACCACTACATAATCGCCCTGTTTGCCCACAACTCAAATATACGACAACTTGGTCTATTGAGCATGGTAAACCTATATCATTTGAATTTAAGCGACAATGCTTTAAGAAATTTAGCACCGGACGCCTTTGAAAGGACCCCAGGAATTCGTCACTTTTCTCTTGCCAGGAATAAATTAACCGAGATGGACCTGCAGCCTATAACATCTCTGAAAAACCTTGAAATCCTCGATGTTTCAGGGAACTCCCAAGTACGTATCAGATCATTTTCCTTCACCGGCCTAGCCAGACTGAGAAGCTTACAGCTGGACGACATGGGCCTCACGGTGGTGGAGACTGGCGCCTTTGATGGACTGCTAGAACTGAGGACGCTCACCATGAGAGGGAACTCTATCTCCGTGTTCCAGCAAGGTATGTTGTTGGCTCTGTCCCAGCTTACCTCACTGAGCGGTGACAACTACAAACTGTGTTGTCCGATCATGAAGCCAAAGTCCTTGTCCACAGGAACCTGCCAAGCTCCAAAAGATGAAATTTCTTCCTGTGAGGACATCCTCCGGACGCCCTTTTTCCGGGTTTTTCTGTGGCTCATGGCGTCGCTGACAATCTTGGGCAACAGCTGTGTCCTGGTTTACCGGCTGTGTGTAGAGCGCAAACCTTCCACACTGAGCTACAACACGTTCGCCATCAACCTCTGCGCCTCCGATCTCCTCATGGGGATTTACTTGGCTATCATTGGCGCTGCGGACCAAGTCTACAAGGGCCGCTACTTGTGGGAGGCAGACTCCTGGCAAAGCTCCAGTTACTGTTCCCTGGCCGGGTTTCTGTGCACGGTGTCCAGCGAGGTGTCCGCCCTCACCATCTGTATGGTCACTCTAGACCGGTACCTGGCCCTGTCCTTCCCGCTAGCCAATGTCCACCTGACCCGGAAGAAAGCCCGATGTCTGGTGCTGGTCACGTGGGTTGTCGGTGTCCTGTTTGCTGGAGTTCCTCTGTTACCTCCCTTGTCCCACTGGCGGTTCTACGCTCAGACCGCCGTGTGTGTTCCCCTGCCCATCACTCGCGCCGACTTCCCGGGGAGAGACTACGCCTTCTCTGTCTTCATCCTCGTCAACCTGGCCTTGTTTGTGGCTATCGCTGTGGGCCAAGTCCTCATCTACCGCTCGGTGAAGGCCAACAGTTTCCAGATGACGGTTGCTGTGACGAGTAAGAGGTTGGTTTTGTTCTATCCTTGTCGTTGTCGCTGTTGTTGCTGCTGCTGTTGTCGTTGTTGATGTTTTTGTTGTCGTTGTCGTTGTTAGTGTCATTGTTTTTATTTTCATTGAAGCTATGCTTATCTCTGTTTTTGTTTGTTGTTATCGTTACTGTTGTTGTTGCTTTTGTTTTTGTTAGTGTTGGTTGTGATGATGTTGCTGTTGTTTTTTATGATAAGGATGATGAGTTTGTCTTCCTATGTCTATTTCATGGGTCTCAACTTCTAAAAAAGGAGGAACTTTCTGGGTGATCGCCACAGAAGCCCATTTTCGCGAAACAACCATTATTTTTATACTGTTCAACCCTAGAATTCTGAAATAAAAACCATCAATTTATCAAAGCAATGTTATATCACATCACTTTGAGGGTTTGGGAGATAATTTCAAGTAAGAGTCACGTACCAAACATTTACAATCTTGATTACGTACAGAAAGTGGTGGCGCGTGGGGTCTTCTGCGACTTATTTACATTTTCCTTTCATCATATTTGCCTATATAAACTATATATGAATCTTGTTTTGAGCCTAGAACCAGAATATCGACTGTCGTGATTCATATCATATATATATATAGGCCAATATAATAAACGTGAAAGACAAACATTAATGCTCAAACTCAAAGTTGAGAAGAATAGCCCAAGGACAATGTAGACCTACTCAGTGTGAGAGGTGGAAGAACTGGGGGAGGGCAAGATGCAGTGATACTGAACATCTGCGAATCTTGAACAGAAAGCTGAAATATAGAGATCAATTGACTGTCACCAATCCAATGAAACGCGAACACTTTGGCCCCTAAGTTCCAAAACATGCTTACACGTTATGACGGTTTCCCGATTTCACACAAGGCCTGCACCAACGCACAATTTATTTTGCAGAGAACTGAAGTTAACTGAAGTAGTAATCAAAATTCTGTACATAAAACATTTATTTCCAGTTTCAGTTTTCTGTTTGTCCTCTGGTGTTGCGTCCAGCCCTCTCCCTATTCCCGAGTGCGACTTTCTTTTTAAAAATCAATAATCCCCCCCCCCCCCCCCCCCCCCCCTCTTGTTATATAGCGAGTGACGAATGTGAAGTTTGCAGACAAAATGAGTTACTTCTCAGATTCAAGCCTTAAGGAAATGATACATATTGCTTATAGGTGAAGTTTTTACAGTTTATAAGTATGAAATAATAAAAGACAGGTTATAGTTAAAGAACATGGCATCGATTGAAAATCTACAAGTTTGACCCTAATGTCGATTTTTAGCCAAGATCTCCTTTTGTGGATTGCGAGAAGTAACTCATTTTGTCAGCACACCTCACAAATATTGATCTATTTCATGGCGACACCACGTTTGTAATGCCGAACCTGCATGTTACAAAATGTTGCGCTATCAGACAAATACTGACAAATTTCTGGGTAGTAACGAAAGCGAAAGTACATCTTGATTTTCCAGTCGAGCATTGGTGACACAATTCCGCTTGCCGCCAAAGCCGCCAGTTCGGGTGAAACGTACTCTCAGACCCGAATTAATATCACAATCGCGACCGGCAGAAATGAACTTAAAGACGTTATTGGATTTGATTTTCAAATATTCGAGATCTTTTATGTATTTTCCCAGGTCTCGGCGATTTTTTTTTAAATTCCCGGGACCTGGCAGTCACCCTGCTCCCAACAACTCTCTTTCTGATTGGCCCACTGTCGCGGTTGCGGAGTTTAGCGGAGGAAATGGCGGTAGTGGATATCCGCTAAATAGCGGACTATTGAGACCCATGCTATTTGGTAAATGTCAAGACTATTAAGTGACTAAATCATTGCTGATAGTTTTTCTGTTGTGTTTTTCTTTCAAATCCAGAAACCAGGACGCAACAATTGCCAAAAAATTAGCCCTAGTTGTCATCACCGATTTCTTCTGCTGGTTTCCGATCGGAGTCATGGGTCTCCTGTCTAAGGTTGGAGTTCCAATCCCTGGAGAAGTGAACGTGGTCGCGACCATCTTCATCCTACCTCTCAACTCCGCCCTCAACCCGTACCTCTACACTCTCCCCGCCATAAGGAAGACACTGGAGAGGTGGGAGGCAAGATCGCGCCGGAACAAGGCAGGTTCTGCAGGTTTCAGGCTTAGATCCATAAACCTGCCACACACAGACGTGTCCAGCGGATCAACGCAGTTTGAGTCTGTCTGTAGCGATAGCTCAATGTCTGCTGGTGGCGCCGCTGACGTCATCAAGGCCCAGGCCTGCCTGGACAAGCTCCGAGCCTGGCTAGAGAAGAGGCGCATCTCCAGAGAAAAGGTGAAACAAATCTTGTCTCACTTCCAGACGAACACGTCTGTGACACCCTAGTCTGTGTGTGTGTCACGATAAATTGTCTAAGTGACACGATAGTCTGTCTGTCTATGTCTGTGACACACTTGTCTGTCTGCCTATGTGTCATAGAAGTCTGTCTAGCTATGAGACACAGTAGTTTGTCCATTTGTCACGACAGTCTGTCTATCTGTATGTCATAGAAGTCTGTCTGTCTATGTGCCGCGATAGTCTGTTCATCTATATGTGACCAAAGATAGTAAATAACAAGATGGGCCACTCAGCCAAAAAGTGTCCGCAGGAAGTATGCTCTTTGCTTCAGATGGTGCTGCAGTCTGTTTTGAAGCTCTCTTTCGTTTTTCCAGAAGAAGAATAGGAATAGCACCTCCTTGCGTGCGCAGATCGACTGCAGCTGCTGCTGTTCATCAGCAGTTCGGGGTCTTTCAGTACGGAGTTTTAGTTTTTTAAAATTGTAATGACCTCTCGCCTTTCATTCTAAAGTCAAATTAAACGAAGAAAACAATCACCCTTTCCTCCGGAAGAGGTTTTTTTGTCAGCGTAACCATTTTAAAAAAGCGTTCTTCCGAAATTTATCCCAAAACTTGCTAGTTTCACTTTGATTTTTTAAACTCAAGTAGGATAACTCTGTTCGCAAAGGGTGCGCTTTTGTGAAGAGGGCGCCACCAAATTTTGAGGACACTTTTTTGATTGGCTCAGAGAGAGAAGTGGCCCATCTTGTTATGTACTATCTTTGATGTGACAAAGCATCGATTTCCTGAGTCACAAAGAATTGTGGTCTGCCATTGCAGAGAAATCACACTCTCGTCAAAATAATGTAATTGAAGAAAACGTCATTTTCCCACCTAATATTTCAACTATTTTTGGTGTACCGTATCTGTGACGTAAGTATTGTGACTGTTTCTATACCCTGTGATGTAAGTATTGTGACTGTTTCTATACCGTATCTGTGACGTAAGTATTGTGACTGTTTCTATACCGTATCTGTGACGTAAGTATTGTGACTGTTTCTATACCGTATCTGTGACGTAAGTATTGTGACTGTTTCTATACCGTATCTGTGACGTAAGTTTTGTGACTGTTTCTGTATGAGTACTAGATCTACATAGCTTATCCTTCATTGTTTTGTGACACCGAGTCTGAACACAGGCCAAGAGTCGGGGAGATATTTGATTCTTGTGATTGTTGGCTCTAGGTTTCTGTTTCACTTCATGTCTGTGATTAACCCTCTATCCGTACGCCCTGGGGTCATTTTGTACCCCTGGGGTTGTATTCTTCACATTTTAGAATACTTCTAGTGCGAAGATCTCTTTGAAACTTTCAGTATTTTTCAAAAAATCATTTTGACAGACTGCTATGCAAAGCGCACGGATCGGATTAACGAGTAAATTTACTCTTTGGAAAGTGGGACAGAGTTCCCCACGTCGTATGGATACGAATGTCCCCGTCGTTTTAAGCAAGAAAAATTCTGAAATTATGCGAACTGAGCCCAAACATGAGGAATTATGCGGTTCTGAAAATTTTATCAAAGAATGATAAAGGAAAATAATCAGATATTATGCAAAAAAATGATAAAATTTTGCTGAATTAAGCGGGGTGCATAAAACCACGGGGACAGATACGATAGTAAAAAACGACGTACGGATAGGGGTATGTTGAAAACGTTGTGTATTGGCTTGATTTTTCTGGACTTCTGACTTGTCAATGAATTGTTTTACAAGTGTCTGTAGATCTACAGCAAAATGATTTTTTTTTAAAATATTCAATTTTTGATCTGATTTTTTTAATATGTATTTTTTTCCAAGCTGAGATGGTACTCCAATTTTATTGCTTTGTTTATTTTCCAAGCTGAGATATCCAATCTGTTTGTTCTAATTATTTTGACTGGTTAAAGTTATTAAGAATACATAATTTGACAGTTCTGGTATTTCTTTGTTGTATTCTTTAATAAACAATCGTCTTTATTTTTTTGTTTGAGTTTGAAAATAAGATCAAAGGTGTAAATTGTATATAAAATGTATCTTGTTCAAGTTCTATCTAAACACTAAACGTACATGTATATTTTGGTTGAGATCAACTGGGGGTGTCCTGGGAAAGATGACAAGACAGTTTTGCCCAAATTTTAGCCGTCATTTGTGAACGGTCCGTTATGTGTATGTGTGAGTCTGTGTTTGTGTGTGAGTGTCTGGGTTTGTGTGAGTGTCTCTCTATGAATATGTGACTGTGTGTGTTCATGTATGTGTCTGTGTTTGTGTGTGAGTGTCCGTGTTTCTGTGTGAGTGTCTCTCTATGAATATGTGACTGTGTGTGTTTATGTAAGTGTCTATCTGCGTCATTAGTTTTGATAAACGTTTTACAGCAGGAGCAACACAAATACGTATGTCCAGAAGAGCAAAGGTGTTACTGTACTACTACTACTACTACTACTACTAGTACTAGAGAGTAACATACACAAAAAAGGAGGTTTTTTGTTTAGTTTTAGTACATGTAGAGGTTTTACGGCGCTCGCAGCTGCATAAGGTCAAGAAAAGGAGGAGCCATGAGGACCACAACAATAAATCAAATGCTTGATGACAGGAAAGAAGGAGCGATCCATGGCAGAGCACCTGCCTACCTATCTCGGTGTGTACGTCCGTCTGTCTGTGTGTTCATCTGTCTGTCCTGTATATGTCCATGTCCGTCTGTCTACCCCTGTGTCTTTTTTTTTTTTAAAAGAGTTTTATGGCCCTTGAAACACAATAGGTGTTACAAGGGAGTAACAAACACAAAAAAGAAGGAGGGGAGATAAAGACGATAGATGTTTGATAGGAAAGAAGGAGCAAACCACACTAGAGCACCTACCAACCACCCACGACTGTGTCTGTACTCTTATACAATAAACGACATAGTATGAACAAAGGGGTCGGTAGGTACGACATAGTATGAACAAAGGGGTCGGTAGGTACGAGACAGGGTGACAAAAACAAAGAACAAAAGCACATAATTTATTGATCCAAGAAGAATTCGATTTGTAATGTAGGAGTTTTTACTTTCACACTCCTACCGACACAATTTAGACCATATGGCAATCTTCCAACCCTGCCTGTCAGGGCCAACTCGGGCCTGGCCTGAGAGGAATACAGAAAACACCCCAGCTGCCAAAACAACGAGATACTCAATAAAAATTCTCCCCATTTGGGAATCAAACTCAGGTCTCCTGCATGCGACAGCGAAACTCGTAACCATAAAACCAGACGCCGGTCACAAGCGGAATATATCAATACTTCAACATGATACAAAGATTCCACATCAACAGATAGACTCAACACCAACATACAAAGATTCAACATCTTTCAGCAACGCCATGAGGTGTAAGGTTCATATGACGTGTGGATGATTCCTTGAGTCCACAGACCTTGACGTACCATGTGCCAAGTAAGTTTGGCCATTGGCATTTCACACAGCTGACACAGGACGATACTCTATCCTCTTTACACATACTCACACACAGACACACACACACACAGACACACACAGACACACACACACACACACACACACACACACACAGACACAGACACACACACACAC